TGGATGAAAGTAGGACGGCGCTTAAGAAAAGCATCTTTCCGACGGCTGTGATGGTGTGATGGGACAGCTCGCCCGGGAGAAGCTGTTCTTGGGTAGGTCCTGTGACATCTAGTCATGACTGCAATCAAGCCACCGAGCGATGGTGACAACTTACCCTGCTTGAGGACAGCCATTTCCTCAGGAGCTAGGCTTAGTGAGGTGGGGAAAGAAAAACCAGGCGGCCTCTCTGACGTGTCCCCCAAAATGCCAGCAGTTGGGTTGCTGAGGGTGGTCTGGTCCCTGCAGACAGGCAGTGGTTCCTCACCACGAGACAGCAGCTGGAGCTGGGGGGGAAGGTGGCGTGACTGCAGGTGGTCACCATGGTTTGCTGAGCCTGGAGCTGTCGTGTGCTGGCTGCACCCCTTGCCGCTGGCTTCAGACCAAGTCAGAATTTCAGTGGTGAGACTTTGGGCCAGAACGCTCTTTCAGAAGGAACGTCTGCCTTTTTAAAAAAAAAGCAAAATGGAAAAGGGGACCCTCAGGCCAGGCCTTGGTGTGACTAATGAGTGGCGTGTGAAGGAGAACGAGGCAGTTGCTGGGGTTTCTGTGGAGAGATAACAGACCTGATTACACGGTGCAGAAGCTGGAGATAGAACAGAGGAAAAGGCGAGGGCTGAGAAGGAGATGGCTGTTGCGTGTCCTGGCGGAAGAGATGCTCTGGTGATGTTCAAAGCTTGTTCTCGGTCAGCAGTTTGAGGGTCATCTCTCCAGGAAAGCTTGGCTCCTCTGTCCAGTGTCTTCAGGGACTCAGGATCTCCTCTAGGTAATCAGAAAAGCAAAAGTGTTGAGGCTTATAACATGGATTAAACTGTCAAGTGCTGACAATGTTCCCAGGGGAAGAATCTTTGGGTCTGCTCTGCTGTATCCTGTAAGATAAGACATCAAAGCTAGCTGGGAGCCAGAAATGGGTGGGCACTTGGGTATAAAACTAAGTGAAATTCCGTGTGTATGAGGATAAACAGGTAAAACTAAATCCCCTGATGGATCTCGGTTGCAGCCAGCAACAGGGTGTCACGGAGCACTCAGGAACGATTACTGCAGACCTGCTGATGCCAGGTGAGAAGCAGAGGATAAGAGTCCTGCGATAAGCCCCGTAAGCAAACTAACCCACTGCTGCTCGGGAACAAACCTCCCGAGTCAGTCTTGAAAAAGCTGCTCCTGAGGAAAGAAGCTGCTGCTTCAGGAAGGAAGGTGCAGCAAGACCAACCCTTGGGCTTTTTGGAGGGCACTGACCTTGACTTCAGGGGCAGGTAGAGTTTCGCACGCTCCCTGGTTTCTCTGCGTGATAGAAATGCGATCCACGGGCTCGCTGGGAGGCTGCCGGGGTTTGGGCAGAGCGCTGAGTCAGAGCCGGGGTAAAGCAATCGGGAGAACCTTCTCTGAGATCACGCTGCAAATCAGAGGGCTTGGATTTGTCGAGTGGTACAAACCCTGAACATCCTGTCACGTTTGTCCCTCCCGACGGGAACCGTTGGACTGACCCTGTGGCTTTAGGGCACTTGAGCCTCAGGGATGCAATCACGGCACCCTCGGAGGCTGCCGAAACTGGTGAGGCTGAAATTTGGCAGCGTCCTCAAGCTCCAGGATGGAGCATGTAGTCTGCTCCCCAGCACTGCCAGGCACGGGGCTGCCTGCAGCGGGGCCGGTTCCTGGCAGGAGTGTCACCGTGTGCCGGCGTCGGGGCAGCTCTCTTGCAGGACGGACCATCCCAGCAGGGAAGTGCAAGGTGCCGCGGCTGGGGTCTCCTGCAGCTCTGCAGTAGTAACGAGCCAGGCCTGTGGCTGCTGGGCTTTTTTGGGAGGAAGAAGCAGAAAGGAAGGTGAGAAAGGTCAATTTTATTTTTTTTTATCCCCCCTGCTCTTTGGGCTTGGCTGTTTCTGCCCCGTGCAGGGCTTGACGCCAGTTCAGCCATGTGCATCTCCTGCCCCCCCCCGCCTCCAATCGACAGGGGCACCGGGGTGAAACGAGGCTCAACAGCTACGGAGGTTTGCGGTGCAGGTTCTGCTTTTCTCTGGTATCTGCCAGGGAAGTAAAACTCCAAAATGACTGAGCTTCCCAGAGAGCAGGTGAACTTCCAGCCAGCGGCTGATGGCTTTGTATTCCTGCCAAATGCCAAGTTGAGATTTTCCTTTGAATATTTGAAGTCTCTTGGATATTTGAAGTCTAGATGGAGATGTACCAGCGCTGGGAAAGGCATCGGGGTGACCGAATGCTCATAGGGTTGGTCTATGTGGGAGGGTGTTTGACCTGCCTGGGAGCCTGCTCAAAAGCAGGTACGTGGTTATCAAGGCTCCCTTTCTGCTCTGGTAAGTTCCCCGTGAGCTCCCTGGAGGAATCTGCTTTCTCCACAGGTGTACCTTCCGTCTGTCAGTGAGTTTGTTGAAAGGATTTTGACAGGCAACTTTCTTCCCTAATCCTTAATAGCTTTGAATTTAAAATGTTTGTGGCGAAGCTAATCCCACGGAACTCCCTGTAGTTTTAATAAATCTGTCCTCCAGTGAGACTCTTCTGGTGAGAGGAGGTAAATCTGCTGCTTTTCTGCCGTGGTAAATACCTACAGACTTGGTGGTGGGGCAGCTTTAAAGTCACCTGCTTGGTCCACCCTTCAAACTGGTATCTCAGCTCCATAAAAGCAAGACCCTGTGTGGTTTGCAGCCTTTGTAACCAAGGTCAGGCCAGAAAACTGTGGGAGTCGGTGAGCCTCTTGAGCATGGCTGTCGGTGTTGGACACTCCCAGAAGGTAAGTCAGGCTGGAAGTTCTGGATGGTTCTAGACCCAATTCCTTTACTCAGAGCAGGGTAACTGAGATGGGACAAGACCCTGAGTAACCCAATCAAGTTTTAGATGTCTCCAAGGACAGACAATAGCCCTAGGGTGGGGGGGACACCTTCATCGTGCTCTGGTGTCTTTCAAAGATGACTTCAACCGCATCTTGAATTTACGTTTGTGCAGGTGTCACTCTGAGGAAAGAATGAAGTTGTTAAGTCCTGTAAAAATCCAGACAGCTGGAGACTTCTGAACTTGGAGCGCTAGGCAGGCTGGAAGGGGGGTAGAAGTGACTCCCCCGGCGTATTTTGTGGCGCTGCGTGCAGGGCTGAGCCCCAGCCCCTCCAGGGGAAGCAGCCTTGGCTGGAGAGCTGGGACGCGGGTTGTGTCCTGG